TGTACAGTATGAGCCAATCAGTGGCAGTAATGACAGAGCATGCACTGTTAACGCAAAAACCGCGATAGAGTGAAGCTGCGGAAGTCGAAGTGTGAAGTGGCGAGGGTTCACTGTATACTCTTTGCCTTCTGAATTTTATTAATAAACTGTCTTAGAAGAAGCATAGCCAGAATGCTCCTTAGAAGCAAGGATGGAGAGGCGTCATGTATCAGAGGGAACCAGTTTCTAGGGAGGATGTTGTACTGGGAAAATTTAAGAAAGACCTTCAGTAAGATGGATTAGCCTAGCCCAGTGTCTTTAAAAATGGAATCAACATTACAGTTGTGAGGTTGGCACAGAGCCAGGTAACATTTCCTCTATTTTGCATTAGGGTTGCTATGAATCTGAGCTAACGTGACATCACATAGTAATAACTGATCATATAACTAACTCAAATACAGGAAGACAAAAGTCAAGAGCATATACCTAAGCTGACAGGGTGACAAAAATATCTTCGTCTTGTATATAGAGAAGATTGCTTGGCACAGAGAGATGTGAGATTAATTTGTTGATTGAAAAAAGATGCTTTTAAATGTGAAAACCAGCACAGAACTGTTTGTTAATCTGTACCATGAATGACACTTTGTTCTGCACACAGCTCCTTGAGTCGAACCAACTCAGTGGCACGTAACATGACTTGAGTTCAGTCATTTTTAAAATGGTGAAGCAGCCGGTTACGCTGCTGTCTTGTATTTTAAGATCCCTGTTTCAGTGGAGTGGGGGGACTGGCGAAGTTATCTGGAATAAGATTTATACCTCAGTGGTTGGGATATAAAACAGGACAGCTTTACTATAATCTAAATTTCTGTATGAATTTTAAATATTTTCATTGTTAAGCTCATTTGATAAGGTAATTTTCACTAATATAGTCTAAAGAAATGTTTGTAGATGTTGTAATACAGCGTAAGAAAATTTCTGATATTGGCAGCGACATAAATGTCCAATATTGGAAATTTTAAAATAATGTCATCTTTTTAATGCGATGTACATATGAAATGATAGATGACTCAAATACCTACTTTGATGTCCTTCATAGAGTGACTTTCTGTGAATAACCTGTAAAAAGCAGGGTATAAAATTATCGACGTGTGGATAACAGTTGTATGAGCCCCTAATAAAATGTGAAAAAAGAAAAAAGAAAAAAAAGATAATGAAAACAAAATAAATAAATAATTAAAAAAAAAAACTCTTTAAAAAAAAAATTATCGACGTGTAGATATAGTATATCTAAGCATTTGTGCCCTCACATTAAAGGAATGGTTTTAGAAGCTTATTTTTAGAAGGGCTATTAAAAGAATATCAGTTTGTTTCTAGTTGATACATCACAAAGACCTTAGGATAGATGTGGTCCGGATAACAACTAGCATTGAATTTTTTCTGTTAAGCTAACTGTTTAATGCTGTTGCTTTTTTCAGAGTGCTGCAGAGGTAGGAAGGAGCATGGGGAAGAAGCAATCTGGATAGCATGAAAGTGATGCTGGTGCTTAAGGGAAGGCGACTTGATTCTGTGGGAAGGGCTGTAGCTGATCCATACGTTGTCCAGGTTAGTCCACCTGTGTTGTAATGGCCTCACCCACTTCAGGAATGTGCACATTTCAGTCATAACGAAGTCATTTCCATTTATCTTTTTTTCACTTGGAACTGGCATCCATTACTACTATAACATGAGTGATTTTTAAAGCAGTAATATGGCCAGGAGGGTGGGGTGGAAAGGGGGAGCCGATTACAGGGATCTACATGTAACCTGCTCCCTGGGGAATGGTCATCAGAAAAGTGGATGAAGGGAGACATTGGACAGTGTGAATATATGACAAAATAATAATAATTTATAAATTATCAAGGGTTCATGTGGCAGGGGGGAGTGGGGTGGGAGGGGAAAAATGAGCTGATACCAAGGACTCAAGTAGAAAGCAAATGTTTTGAGACTGATGATGGCAACACATGTACAAATGTGCTTGACACAATGGATGGATGTATGGATTGTGATGGGAGTTGTACGAGTCCCCAATAAAATGATTTTTTTTTAAAGCAGTAATATTTTTAATAATCTAATGAATCACCAGATCTGGGCCTTTATAGAGGTCTAAATACAGGCATGTACACATGTAAATAATTATAACAATAGGGAAATAGATCTATGTAGTACATATATTTATATGTTAAGTATTAAGGTAGCAGACGGGGATTGGGCTTCTACTCAAGTACTCCCACAACTCAAGAACACTTCATTCTGATAACCGAGCATCCTTTGATGCTCAGCTTCCTGACACGATCGATGAAGATAAAATGGGTGCATAAGCAAATGTGGTGAAGAAAGTGGATGATGCCCAACTATCAAAAGATATGGCCTCTAGGGTCTTAAAGGCTTGAAGATAAACAAGCAGCCATCTAGCTGAGAAGCAACAAAATCCACATGGAAGAAGCACAGCAGCCTGTGTGATCCTGAGGTGTAGGTGGGATCAGGTATCAGGCATCAAAGACCCAGAACAAAAAAAACATAGATGTGAATTGTGTGTGTGTGTGGGGGGGGGGGAGGTAGAGTGGAAACCCAAAGCTCATCTGTCAACATTTGGACATCCCCTTGTAGAAGGGTCACAAGGAAGAGACAAGCCAGTCAGGGTGCAGTGTAGCACTGATGAAACATAAAACTTTCCTCTAGTTCTACCTTACAAATCTGGCTAGACCAGACTGTGTGCACTGGTACAGATAAGAACTCGCAACACAGGGAATACGGGACAGATTAAACTCTTCAGGACCAATAATGAGAGTAGCGATCGGGGGGTGGGGGGTGGGGGGGCCTGATCACAATGATCGGCATAAACACCCACCCCCATGGGGATGATCAATAGAAGTGTGGTTGAAGGGAGACCACGGTCATTGTAAGACATGAAAAAATAATTTATAAATTATCAAGGGTTCATGGGGTAAGGCAGGGGGAAATGAGCTGATACCAAGGACTCAAGTAGAAAGAAAATGTTTTCTAAACAATGGCAACATATGTACAAATGTGCTTGACACAATGAATGTATGTATGGATTGTGATAAGAGCTGTAAAAACCCCAGTGAAATGGTTTAAAATAAATAATAATAAATCACCAGATCTTTGCCAAGGAAAAATACATTTGCCTAGTTAGTAAATATGAGTGAATTACTATCTAATAGTTATCTGTAAAAGCTTTATGGAAAAATGATTCTTACATCCAGATAGAAGTTTTGATGATAACTTCTGCTAAAATTTCAAAAACCACACATATGTACTGCAGTTTTGCCAGTAAAAAGTAACCGTACTGGGTTGAGAGTTTTTCTAGGTATGACAAATTAGAACTTCTTTCATTGGATGTGGTAGAACAACCTTTTTAAGAAGCTAATGCTATATATTTACAAATATTCATACTGGTCACAGTATTGTAAATTATTTCTTTTATTTCTGAATAATGGGTATAAATTTTAGAATACGAACAGTCATTGTGAATTTTCATAAAGAACATTATAGATAGACAACTAGTAGTTTGTGTTTGGGTTTCGGGGAGGGAAGACTGGTTTGTGTTTATATCTAGAAATAACTTAATACAAATGTGGAATCTTTGTACAGATTTGAGTATGAGCACAGTTGAAGAGGATTCTGACACAGTAACAGTAGAAACTGTGAACTCTGTGACTTTGACTCAGGACACCGAAGGGAATCTCATTCTTCATTGCCCTCAGAATGGTAGGTGAAGTTGTTAAAATAATACTTAGGAGTGTGTAGATTCCAAAGTTCCATGTTACATTTGATTCTTATTATCCAGATAGGCAATTGAGGCTTGTAGAATACAAAGAAAGTTTATGATTTTCAGTCAGTGTCTTAACATTAATTTTGTGGTTTCTAAAAATATTTTTAAATTTGCCATAAAAATTAGCCATTGTCAATCTTATTTGATAAATAAAATGTGTTGAGCCTCCAATGATGATGATGGAAAATTTTCTTAAGTATATGTATTCTTTTATGAAATACTTATTTTTGTGCTTTAATAGTTATCTATAATACTTTTGAAACTATTTAAATAGGCCTGCCAATATAAATAGAAAACTTATTTTGTATATTCGAGAATTTTACACAACTATATTAATAGGCTTTAATATGATCACTTGTAATGAATTAGGATTCAACAGTTTGTTCATTTTTGAAAAGGAGAGGTTTTCCTAATTTTATTTTGTTAAGAGCGTATATAGTAAAACATAGTTTTAAACTTGCAATTCAGTGATACTGATCACATTCTTGCAGCTGTACAACCATTTGCACCCTCTCTCATTAATGAACTCATCACTCCATAAAGTCTCTCTAGTCTTTCAAGTGTGGTAAATTTGATCCCACAGACTGGTGTTCAAGTAGCATAATGCTTGGGCAGGCAGGGTAACTTTAAGATGACTTCGGGGTATATTTTTGAGTGAAGAAGAAATTTTAATATCATTCCAGGTAACTGAGTATACTTCTTTGATACAACACACAAACTTGCAGTTTGTGGTCATTTTATTACTTCTCTACCTATTTCTTCTTTATTCATTTTACTCTTTTAAGTTCATCCATTTAACCTACGTTCTCTTTTCTGCTCATTTCAGCCTATATAATCTGGGTTATTTCATTCAAACTGGTGTGTTCTTAACTACCTATTGGTATGTTAAAATGACTCAAAGTCTATAAAGATACCAAGAATTTCATCTTGGTTACACAATCGGTGTCTCCAGAAGCAGCAGCCGAGAAATCAAATTATATGTCGCATTGGGCAAATCTGCAGTAAAAGACCTTAAAAAGCAGAGATTTTTAGGTTGAGGATAAAAATTTCAGTGGCCTAAGTTAGTGTTTTCATTTGCCTAATAGTCATGAAAAAGCTGGACAATGATTAAGGAAGACTAAAAAAAGAATTCATGCCTCAATTTGAATTGCTGTATTGCAAAAGAACATAGAATATACAAGTCTGTCTTGGAAGATGTATAGCCAGAAGACTGTCTGCTGTACTTTGTTCATGCTGTCAGAGGGACCAGTCAATCCCTAGAGAAGAACATTGCTGTGGCAACGGTTCTGACCTCCTCTGGCTTCCCAGTAGGCACACTGTTCTTCTTTACCTCTTCTGACACCAACCATTCCTCCCACAGTGCTCTGATACCATTCCCTCCTTCAGATTTGCACTGTACTATTTACAATATTGGATTGTGCTTCTTCCCTGTGCACTTAGTTGATGCCTCATTTAGATAGTACTTGCTTTAAGACCCCAGATGCTATTCTCATCCCTTCTTGTAAAAGTTAACTCAGAGCCCATCTGTAGACAATTGGACATCCCCTCACAGAAGGGTCACAAAGCAGAAACAAGCCAGTCAGGGTGCAGTATAGCACTGATGAAACATACAACCCTCCTCTAGTTCTTTAATGCTGCTTCCCCCTGTTATCATGACCCCAATTCTACCTCACAAATCTGGCTAGATCAGAGCATGTACACTGGTATAGTTAAGAACTCTCAACACAAGTAATCCAGGGCAGATTAAACCCCTCAGCACCAATAATGAGAATAGAGATCCCAGGAGGGTAAAGGGAAGGTACGGGGAACTGATCACATAGATCTACATATAACCCCGTCCCAGGGGACAAACAACAGAAAAGTGGTTGAAGGGAGACAGCGGTCAGTGTAAGACATGAAAAAAATAATTTATAAGTTATCAAGGGTTCCTGAGGGAGGGAGGGAGGGAAGGATAAATGAGCTGATATCAAGGGCTCAAGTAGAAAAAATTTGTTTTGAAAATGATGGCAACATATGTACAAATGTGCTTGACACCATATGTATGGATTGTGAGAAGAGCTATAAGAACCCTCAATAAAATGATTTTTTTTTAAGTTAACCATTTATGAACTGCTGATGGTTTTTTCCCATTAGTTTTAGCATAATTCATGTTGCTTTGATAGGGACTTGTTTCAAACTGATGTCTTGGCCTTTGTAGTGCCTCAGGCTGGATCCTGTTCAGACATGTTCTTTTAACCAATCCCCCAAACAACCAAACTCAATGCCATTGAGTCGTTGACAACTCATAGTAACTCTATAGGACCAGGGTAGAATTGCCTTTGTGCAAGAGTGAAAAGCTCCATCTTTCTCCTACAAAGTAGATGGTGGTTTTGAACTGCCATTGTTTGCGTTTATTGTGGTGCCTGAAAAGAAATCTGTGCGTAGTTTTTTTTCCTTTCCAATAGCACAGCTTGTTTACACATAGGGCCCCTGTGACTCAGGACAGACTTGACAGCACCTACCAACTGTCCATATAATAACGAAGCAGATTGCTAGGTCTTATCTCTGTGGACTCAGTGATACCAGTTCATACCAGTGACCTTTCAACAACCTGCTTTCACACCTCATTGTCACTGCACATTTTACTACTAACAGGAAAAATTGTTGTCCCCTAGTTTCTGTTTCTCTTTTTAGTATCTAGAAAAATTTCTCTCACCCTCCAGTTTACATATTAAATTCCTCTGTTCTATGTTCCTTTAACAGCCTCTTCTATCCACTTTTCCAGCACTATTCTAAAATTGTTCATTTAGCCATCTCTGCTATAGTTTGTGCTCCTTGAAAGTCTGCGTTTTCCTAGTTTGTACTCAAACATTGTCAATGGATCTGCACACTTTAAAAAATGATCAACCTGCCTTTATCAGTGAAGTATATGGAAAACCAGGTAGTTTACAATACAAAGTGTGATGTCTCAAAGGTGGCATATAGACGTAGTCACTGCTTTAGACATAAAGAAGGTATTGCCCCTTGAATCCTTGTGACACTAATGGGGCTAGTTAATGGAGCAAAAAGGTAAGCAAATTATTCCAGTCATTACCGGTTGGAGATTTAATTTTTCCTCGTTGGTTAAAATTTTTGTTTGCTGTTTTGTTTTCATTAGAAGCTGATGAAATAGACTCGGAAGATAGTACTGAACCTTCACATAAAAGACTTTGTTTGTCCTCTGAGGATGATCAGAGTATTGATGATTCAACTCCTTGTATATCAGTTGTTGCACTTCCACGTAAGTCTCGATGACTTAAGAATATAGAAGGTTGTTTTTAAATCAATACAAACTTGTGAAAAATTCATTTCGATAGAAGTTGGCATTTCTAGGAAGCTTAGACCAGTTATTTTTCTCTTCATAACTTCAAAACATACCGTGCTAATTTAATCATCACAGTAATTCTACAGGGGAGTGTTTCTAAAACCTTGTAAAAATTTTTACCTCCCAGTGAGCCATTTTCAGACTATTTTTTCTATCATATCCCCCCAACCCAGCACCCCCAGTGTAATTTTAATACCACAAATAATAACTCTGGCAATTTCTTGGCGTGGCCCTGTCCATTGGAAAGGTCACGGTGATCAGTACTTTCTTGGTAGGCCACATATACTTCATTTACATAGTAGCTATAGTCACTTTTGCATACTATTAATTATTGACTGTTCATCAGGGAAATGTTAATCAACCTGGACAAAAGTCATGAACTTTCTAGGGTAAGAAACTAGGGCCTAGGTAACTTTTCAGGGATGGGGTGGGGGGGATCTCAAGCTGTTTTTCCAAAGAATGATGTCCAAAAGGCATGTAAAAGAACTCATTTCCCCACAATAGTAGGTGTCTCAATGTATTTAAAATGACTGAGGTGTCCAGTTATTAGAAGTTCTTAAACTTGCTTCTTCGGCATTCTTTTCTGTCTTATTAATGTCAAGTCCATCCTTCCTGTAGCTCGCATAAAAAGTTTAAAAGTAAAATTAGCAACAGTTGCTCTCTGATTTGTCCTCGGAGCCTGTTGCCTAAACCATGAAAATATTTACAGGATTTGAGCTATAGAAATACAAATGACCTTCACTTGCCTTCACCCTAGTCCAGTGACTTTTGTCTGGATTACTTCATTAGTCTTCTAATTAATCTTACTGTAATACTTACCTCTTCAATCTTCCTCTTAGCCATCACAGTGATACTGGTTTTTAAAAAAACAAGTGTACTTAAAATCTACTGGTGGCCTCCCACCTCTGACTAAAAGCAAAAGTATTTACAACGACCTATGAGGCCAATGCACAGTCTCAGTGGTCTTGTTCCACATGCTTTAGCTATATTGGCCTTCTTGCCATTTCAATGAACATGCCATGCATGTCACCCTCATTTCTGAGCCTTTGCAACTTGGCTTTTTCTCGAAATGCATTTTTTCAGGATGTGGATTACTGGCTTCCTTCCTCATTGTGTGCTAGGGCTTGACCACTTTTTGTGGCCTAGGATCTAATTTCAGGAGCCCTGGTGGAGTAGTGATTACACATTGGGCTGTGAGCCACAGAATTAGCAATTGGAAACCACCAGCCAGCTGCTCCGAGAGAGAAAGATGGGGCTTTCTGCTCCCATAAACAGTTAACAGTCTTGGCCACTCACAATGGTAGTTCTGCCCGGTCCTAAAAGGGTTGCTGTGAATCGGCATCGGCTTAGTGGCAATGAGTTTGTTTTTTCTAAAATTTCAAATAGCCTCACATACTCTCAGTACATTCACTTTCCTGCATTTACTTCTTCTCCTTGGTACTTTTCACCATATAGCGTATCTTGTTCACTTTTATTTTCCCCACTAGAAAGAATGTAAGATCCGTGAAGCAGGCTGTCCCTGTTCTACTCTCCCCCTCCCATTGCATCCGCCCCCCCTCCCCCACCCCACCCCCGCCAAAGACATATCCTCAGTTCCCAAAGCATGGACTAGTATGTAGTATTTGCACAATTAATAAATGAATATATGTATATGTGGTGATGTGTTGACAAGGAGTAACTTTTTTTCCTTAGATATTTTTAGATTAATTAGAATCCACCATTATTCTGGAGATGAATTGTTTCCCTTTTTTCTGAAGTTTCAGAAAATGATCAGAGCTTTGAGTTGACCATGACTGCGACCACAGAGGTGGCAGATGATGAGATTACTGAAGGAACTGTGACACAGATCCAGGTATTCTTTCCATTGGGCACAGGAGGGTTATCTTTTATACATATACATAAGTCAGATGATAGTCATAGGGCATGTTTTATCTGACAAAGGACCAAATATAAAATTACGGTGACACTACTTACTCATGTTGCCAGTACCTACATAAGTGTATCAGAAGTGTAATGCTTGTCTTAAAAAACAAATGCTGCGATACTGGGAAGCTAGAGGGAGGGTGGGTTGGAAAGGGGGAACCGATTACAAGGATCTACATGTGGCCTCCTTCCTGGGAAACGGGCAGCAGAGGGGTGGGTGAGCGGAGACATCGGAAAGGGCAAGATATGACAAAATAATGGTTTGTGAATTATCAAGGGTTCATGAGGGAGGGGGGAGTGGGAAGGGAGGGGAAAAGGATGAGGACCTGATGCTGGGGGCTTAGTTGGAGAGGAAATGTTTTGAGAATGATGGGGGCAATGAATGTACAAATGTGCTTTACATAATTGATGTATGTATGGATCATGATAAGAGTTGTATTTGCCCCTAATAAAACTATTTTAAAATGCATGTATGTTCCTTCTCTGCATGTAGTGAATCTCGCTGGAGCTATTAGAAAACTTTATATTTTACCTTAACAGTAATACAAGATATTCATTAGAAGTTAAAGCTGCTTAAGTTTTACCCAGTAGTAGTCCTTAACACTGATTTAGAAAGGCTAACACACATTCTGTATTCTTTCAAGAGTGGAAACTAGTCATTTTAGGTAGGTTTTAATTACCACAATTGTACTTAACAGTAGTATTGGTTTCTCTTGTAGGCTATAGGACTAAATACAGTTTTATGATTTCTACTATGTCATTAATCTCACATAAATAGAAATTAAGTTTCTTTTGCAAAAATCAATTGGACCTTTTTTGCTCTACAGCTAAGTTACACATAAAATTTATTTTATTTGTAGATTTATCATTGATTATGCTTTTATTTTTTTAGTAGCTCACCTTTTTTCATTTCTTCATTTAATAAGATAATTTTTGAAGTAGAGAGATTGTATCATGTCATTATGATAAGGAGCTTAAAATAGTGTGTGGAAATTCTGTTTTCTACAAATTTTTTAAAATCGCCTTTGTGTTTATTTGTTTTAATGAAAGGTCACAATGACCATCTAGCTACAAGTTTATAGGAAACGTAAAAGGACTAGGGCCAGCTTAGGTACATGCACTGTGAACCTTTTGTTATAGGAAGCTTCAAAGTTATTCTTGAGTCTCAAGGTAATCAGAAGAGTGAGTCTTTGGGTCAGGCTGGAGAGTTTGTAGTCTCCCACTTGGATTTCATTGGGTGGTTTGGGCAGGAATTAATTTTCTTTTTTTTGGAATTAATTTTCTAAACCCCCTGAAACAGTAAAACATGCCTGTCCTTCAAAATAGCTCTTAGCAGTTTCGTTCTAGAGTGAAAGGCTTGTGTTACTGCTATTTTTCCATTTTCAGCACATTAAAAATAAATTCTGTGTGTGAGAGAGAGCGATTAAGATTTATTTGGTTTTCAACTTAATTAAAAGATTGATAAATTCCTATTATAAGACAAATTAAGGAGTTATTTTATTGCCAGAGAGTTAACGTGTTGTTATTATTTGGCCTCTTGTTTTAGTATCATCTTTTTTGTTTTGTTGTAGAACTTATTTTGGGGTGAAAACTTTGGCAGTTTTTCATTTGACAGTTTATATACACTTTTTTTTCCCCATGATATTCATACTTCCTCCCTGGATCCATTTCCATCTGTCCTTTCCTGCCCTTTTGGCCTTTGATTGTAAACGCTTGCTTAATCTCCTCTTGTAGCTCTCAAAAAAAAAAACACTGCACTGCTCTGCCTCATTAACAAAACAAAGACAACCTATTCCAAATAGAAATATAACCATAAGTATAGGAATTAGGATTTACAACATATTTTGGGGAAACAGTTCAATCTAAAATGTATTGAAGTCTCTATCTTTCTTTGATTGATTTCTAATAGCTCAGAATTCCCGTCTTTCAAGTTGATATCATAGGAATTCAAATAATTGAAGAATTGTGATCTTCAGAATATCACGAATCATAGGCAATCATCTAGTTTCTCTCAATTCTAAGTTTTTATAAAGGCTTTAAAGACACACAGAAACGTGGGATTATAAAGTATAGGCTTGTTGCAGTTATTTCTGGTGTTTTTGCCCCATGAATTTTCTAAAAGTAACAACCTAAAAACACCAAACTTGCTTGATACACTAACCATACATTTATCGCCAGATATGAAAATAAAGTAGATGACAATAAAGATAAGCTGTCTATTCTCATTGTGCTTTGACTGAGATGGGTTTGAAATTAGAATTACAATTTCAACTTATTCAAGAACTAACCCAATCTTTCTTAGGACTTACCTCCAACCAGTAATACAATGAGTTTATCCAATCTGAGACTGGACTTTGTTGAGTGGTTACTAAGCATATGCTGTTCTTTTATCCAGGTTTTTACCTAATAATAATAGCACTATTGCCGTGTCTTTCATACTTAAGCTCTCTGTAGGCTAAGACTAACTACATTAAAAGAAGCTTTGTTTCTTCAAAATTTGTTAAATGAGGTATGTTTGTAATTGAAAATATATATGCCTGGTGATGGTTGCACAAATGTGACTGTCCTGAAATCACTGAATTGTACACTTTAATGGGGTGACTTTTATGGCATGGGAGTTATGTAAAAGTAAGTAAAGTATTGCTACTATTTTATGTTTTTTAAAAAGTTTAAACATGTTTCTGCAATTATTGGGTGTCCCTTAGTAAAACACTTGTGTCTGACTCCATATTGTGCCTTCAAAAATTCTGTAACCACAGAAACAGACATTTTTGAGGTCAGGGCTAATTCCAGACAAAACTGAAGTGGACACATCTTCTGATTACTATTAATATAATAGCTGCTTAAGTTGGGATCTCACATGGTTTCGCAGTTTCAATATTGAGCAAACATCTTCGTCTCAGCAAACTTGCGGACAGTTGGGTGTCAAACATGTTGCATGAAGATCGGCTAGCTTAAAAAGCTAATCTTACCATTAGTCTTTTTAGCACTATCAAAAATAATGAAGATGATTTTATGGAATGATTAAGAACTAGGGATGAATCTTGGTTTTACCAATATTATCCAGAGAATAAGGCCCAGTCAGAACAGTGGCTTCCAAGGGGATTAGTTAGATCAGTTAAATAAATTCAAGGCAAAGAGGTTAATTCAGAAACTTATAGTGATTACTTTTATTCAGGGGATCTTAAATGAGAGGGGAATCATAATAGATGAAATTTTCTTAAAGGACACTTGGGCTTATTATGAAGTTTTAAGAAAATTGAAAGCTATAGCTACATTAGTGAGAAAAGGCCAGAAAAGTTATGACGAGATTTTTTCATCAATGTACTTGGCCCTTCGTCTGGGGTAGCAAGAACTGTTGTCTTAGCAAGAATTTTGTCAGGAAACTTTGTAGTCTATCTACCTTACATCTCTGATATTGTCCCTTCAGACTTCTTTTTCCTCCCCAAACTCAGAAAAACTCCAACAAGATTTAAGAACCGCAAGGATGCCAAAGCTATCTTTGGTACGTGGCATAAATGAAAGAACACAGAATTCCCTTGCAAATGGGTTAGAGAGGTGGAAACATGGCCTTTAAGAGTATTTTGATCTAGAGGGAAGATAACACATTTTTGGTTTTTTGTTTAATAAAAGTTTCTGGCTTTGTAGTGATTCTTTTTGACTTACTCTGGTATATTGATAAATATTGTTCTAAAGTAGAGTAATAATATGAGAGAACTTCCAAACGTTTGTGGAAAATGGAATTTAGAACATAATAGGATTTTCTACAAACATCATGAGGCTCCTTCATATAATAATAAGCATTTTTTGAGAAGAACTTTTTTTTAAAAGGCTAAAGATTGGCTTCAGAAGGCAAACTAAAATAGAAAAATCCAGTAAACATGATAATGTCTTCTGGTGTATCTTGATACTCCTTTATTTTAGTAGGGGATTGTATTATTAATATATAACTATATGAGGATTCTAGCAATCAAATGACTCAACCCTAGTACTTCCATGATCTTAGCTGGGACTGCTTGTGCACTCATTTTACATACACAAATTGTTTTAGCTGTCCTATAGTGATTTAAATACTTAGTAAAAGTTTTTAGCTAGTGTTATATATTATGTATCACAAATTAACTCCGTGCTCTGTACATAAGAGTTTTATAATATTTAGCATTGCAAATGAAAATTAATCAAGTTGAGTATTTCATTAAACGGGTTTTCTTGGTTTTGTTCTTGTTCAAGATTCTACAGAATGAGCAACTAGATGAAATATCTCCCTTGGGTAATGAAGAAGTTTCAGCAGTTAGCCAAGCATGGTTTACAACTAAAGAAGATAAAGATTCTCTGACTAACAAAGGTTGGCTATGCTGTGAATTTTAGAGTGGGGAATATATTCGCTCTGCACTCGTTGGTATAGTTAGGTTTCAATGACTAGGTTGTTCTTTGAAAATGAATAATAATTTATAAATTATCAAGGGTTCATGAGAGAGTGGGGAGCTGGGAAGGAGGGGGAAAATGAGCTGATACCACGGGCTCAAGTGGAAAGACAATGTTTTGAGAATGATGAGGGCAACAAATGTGCTTGACACATGGATGGATGTATGGATTGTGATAAAAGTTGTACGAGACCCCAATAAAATTATTAGTTTTTTAATGAGAAGAAAAGGAGCATTGTATAAAAATTGAAGATGTTACTTAATGGCCAAACCACTGAGTTGACCAAACCAGCCAAGTTGACACAAACCTTAAAAACAACCAACATTCTCCCCTAGCTCCTCCGCATTTGTTACTGGCATGCATAAGTCACTAGTGCTCTAAATAGATTATTTTACCATTCATAAATGCAAAATGTTGAGTAAAGTGATGGTTGATAAGGGAAATGGATAAGGGAGGTAGAAGGACCTGCCATTGAGATTCTGATTTCTACTCTCGTCCATGTGACTGAGGAGTTTTTGAACTTTTCTATATTGAACCAACATTTGTTTCTCAAAAACTGAGTATTTTTAACTTAAGTAAAATTTCCCTAGTTAATTTTTGCGTTAAAAGATGGTATCATTGCTTCTTATGGTAGCAGGCTCTTGGACACTTTTCAAGGGTTCACTATTTTAGTCTGTTTAGCAGTTTAGAGGTATATGGTACTCTCGTGCATATGGATTGCTGTAGAAGCAGCTCAAACAGTGAGGATGGTTTTTTCTGTCAAAGTAAGGAAACAAGTAAATTGATTCTTTCTACCAGTGTAGAGTATAATGCTCTTAAGAATAGATTATTCACTTGATGTCCGATATATTGTGTACCTTCATCCAGAATTTCAATTATTCATAAAACTTGTTACTCTTGGGAGAAAATTTTTAAGATCCTTATTAGAATTTTTGTACTGCTATCATAAGAGGACAAGTAATAGATTTTTAAAATATTTTAATTACCACATCGTTTGTAAGGTCAAGAGTATTTTTGCATTAAAACTGAGATGTGATAAGTTTACTGAGGGAACTTGAACATGAATAAGAAGTTACATTAGCTATACTTTATTCCTACAGATATGAATCACCTGGAAGAAATGAGTATTGGAGGAAGGAATAATAATTTGTGTAACACTACTTATCTTCTTTTAAAGGACATAAATGGAAGCAGGGGATGTGGTCCAAGGAAGAAATTGATATTTTGATGAGCAATATTGAACGCTACTTGAAGGTATCTTAATGGCATACTTTTGTGTTTCACGCTGTATTTTTGCACTGCTAATTGCAAACAGCAGCATATTGAATATAATTATTAGGAATATTTTCTTTCAATGGTTAATATATTGTGTTCTTAAAATCCTAAAGTAGTATTATTTTTAAATGAATTTTGCAACCTCAATTTAAAATAGCTTTATTGCTTTAGCTGTCACCCTATAGTTCAGACAAACTCTTAATAATAACCTTTTAGATTCTCTAATGGTGAGAGCCTTGGTCTTGTCTCTTTTCAGTCAGCCTATAAATTGGCGTTTAGATATATATTGTCTAAAGACTAAGTTTACATCCTTTTGGAATGTTTATGAAGTTATATTCTTCCTTCCCTTTAATTTTCATTTATTGAGTTCATGTTCAGATATATTGTCTATTGAAACCTCTTTATTAAATATGGAGATACGAGAGCTTCAAAGAGTACGTGGACTAATGGAGTTTTCCACAAACTTTTTGAACCCCCTTATGTGAGTTAACACAAAGAATGGTTACCTTTGGAAAGCCATGTGGGAAAGCTGAAAACAGGCCCCAAAATTCAGACTTTTGTACCATTTGAGTGATTCAGGTTCTGCTTCTGGTTGGAGAAGGAGGAAAAGTCGGGAGGATTAAGACAGAGAAGTCAAGAATAGGGTGGACATAGCCCTACACGGGACAACACTGGAGACACAGTGTGGAAATTGCACCCGATCTGATCCCACCACACCTAGGCAAAACACTAAGGGAGTGCAACAGAACAGCAAGAGAATGGAGTGGCGAGGTCCCCAGGGAATGCTGAAGGTGGACTTTGGGGCCAGGGCATGGTGCCCCAACCAACTAGACTGGAAAACACTCCTAAAGGCCAACAAACAATCCTTGAACTAGCTACAAGCTTTTCTTTCTTGTTGTGTTTTGTTTTGTTTGTCATTGTTTTGTTGTACATTGTTGCTTGGTTTTGCTCTGTCTTGTTTTTGTGCATGTTATTATCTCTGCAGGTCTGTCTAAATAAGATAGGCTGAATGGAAAATCTGGAGGAGAAAACGGGACCGACGACGGTTGGTGGGGGAGGGGGGGAGGTAGTGGTGTTAAACCCAGGGACAAGGGAGCAACAAGGGATCCAAATTGGTGGTGAGGAGGGTATGGGAGGCCTGGTAGGGCATGATCAAGGGTAATATAACCAAGAGGAATTGCCGAAACCCTGGTGGGGACAGCATGATAGTGGAACAGGAGGAAAGTCAAAGGAAATAGAGGAAAGAGCTGGGAGGCAAAAGGCATTTATAGAGGTCTAGACATGTACATATGCAAATATATTTATGAGGATGGGGAAATAGATATATGTGCATATATTTATAGCTTTAGTATTAAGGTAGCAGATGGACATTGGGCCTCCACTCAAGTACTCCCTCAATGCAAGAATACTTTCTTGGCATTCTATGATACTCACCTTCCCAGCACAATCGCTGAAGACAAAGCGGGTGAATAAGCAAATATGGTGAAGAAAGCTGATGGTGCCCAGCAATCAAAAGATATAGGCTCTAGGGTCTTAAATGCTTGAAGGTAAACAAGCGGCCGTCTAGCTCAGAAGCAGCAAAGCCCATATGGAAGAAGCACACCAGCCTGTGTGATCATGAGGTGCCTAAGGGATCAGTTATCAGGCATCAAAGAACAGAAAGTCATATCATTGTGTGCTCACCTCCATGATACGATCGCTGAAGACAAATGGGCGCATAAGCAAATGCGGCCAAGAAAACTGATGGTGCCTGGCTATCAAAAGATATAGCGTCCAGGGTCTGAAAAGCTTGAAGGTAAACAAGCGGCCATCTAGCTAAGAAGCAACAAAGCCCACATGGAAGAAGCACACAGCCTGTGCGATCACATGGTGTCGAAGGGATCAGGTATCAGGCATCATCAGAACAAAAAATGTTGCCATCGTGACTGAGGGGGATAGTGCAGAGTGGAGACCCAAAGCACATTTGTAGTCCACTGGACATCCCCTTACAGAAGGGTTTCGGGTAGGAGACGAGCCAGACAGAGTGCGATGTAGCAATGATGAAAAATACAACTATCCTCTAGTTCCTAAATGCTTCCTCTGCCCCTAACTATCATGATCCGAATTCTACCTCGCAAGTCTGGCTAGACCAGAGGGTGTACGCTGGTATAGATAGGAACTGGAAACAGGGAATCCAGGGCGGAAGATCCCTTTAGGACTAGTGGTGTGAGTGGTGATACTGGGAGGGTAGAGGGAGAGTGGTTGGAAACGGGGAACCGAT